ACATTTTTATTATTTTAAACTGATGTAGTTGTACTGCCGTATCAATTATTTTTCTCGTACACAATTTTGAAAACTTTTAAAATAAAAAGTGTATACACAAAAATTAAAATATATAAAATTATATTTTACCGGATATTTTATAATATATACCAAAAAATGAGGTATTAATACTTTAAAAAAAAAAATAAAAAATTTATGTTGCATGATATTATATATATACTTATATGTACGACTAAATGGTAGTGCATGATAGTTGCCCACAAAATTTCGAAGTTGTAACATAATTATAATTAAACGAAAATAAATCAAGACGATAGTATGAAGAACAGATAGTGAATTTAAATAGAAACAATTTATTTGTTAACAATTGCGTGTCTCTCGTTATGTAATTTTATTTGAATCACATAAGTTTTTATTTTTAATTAATTAATGTATTTTTATTGCCAATTGAATATTGTGGTACCAAAATCTTCAAAGTCAACTAGATCGCACTTGAAGCACAAAGGGTTGATACATTCTTGATATATTTACATTTGACAATTTAGTAGTAGAACCCTTTTAGTTTGACCCCGATAACTTTGATTCTCCTCCAGATATGCTGACACTGATGTCCTGTTTTCTAATGTATGACTTCTATGTCATAATAGGTGACCCAGATGACAGTACGTGTATGATATATTAAGCTATGTGTAACATTTCTATGAATATGTAATGGTTCAAAGTACTTTGATCAATCGGGAATAATCCCAAATATGACTGCATCAATCTCAAAATTTCTTGTGGGAACATTACGAGTTATTTGGCTAGCCAATAATATCATGACTATTATGTTGACAGCATTATGCTGTGCAATGTTACACTTATTTCTTTAGATCACAAGTATATATAATCTTATATGAACATCTTATGCAAATGCATAAACAATTTCAAATAGATAAAAATAGATCATCGAATAGCAGATAACATACTGGAATAAGTCTTCCATATAACAAACTTCAGTCATCAGCAAAAAGAGTAGTGGTGCAAAATATCTACTTTCCTTCCACATTTGGTAAATTCAGATTCATTTTGAAAAGAATCATCGTTAGCTAATCAGGAATATTGCAACAAACACAGATATCTTGAAACTATAAAGCTATTTTTTTACAAGTAATGAACAGGGGTGTATGTAGTGGAGGATTGCACAAGTCCAAACACAATTGTTATATAGCAATCATTTATCTGTGGCAGAGATCTGTGTAGAACATTTGCATATTTTTCAGCCCAACAAATGATCGCTAAACAACAATATTTGTAGATTAGAAAAAATGAGTGAGATATGAGCTGAATCGGGAATCGAACCCAAGTTTTCCGCCCGCATCATTTGAAAGCTTGCTCGAGTACGTTATATAATCATATAATGTATAATACAGTTCAATGGTGTACAGATAAATGTTGGAGATACTTCTGTTACGCTTAGCACAGCTCTTATAATATACATGTTCTAGGCTCTATGGCCGGTATTCATAGTCCGTTCTTGTATTTAAAATTATCTCAAGTACGCGGTCTTAAGATGCTATATAGCGATTTCATTTTTTTTGGTTGAATGGGATCTTAAAACAACCCAAGAACACACTTAAAACGATCTTAAATATAAAAACGGACTATGAATACCGGTCTATATCCCCAAAGTTATCGGAGTTCTACTGTATTAAGAAGTACTGCTATAAATTCATAAATACCTTTAACTGTAGAAGTATGAACTGACTGAATATTCTCATTATAATTAATATCATATAATTAATATGGCTGAGAATGTGTTATTTATGAATCTAAAGTGTGATAGTTCTGCATAATAGATAGGCAATATTGTCCTCTAAATCCAATATTTAGTTGGAAATAAAAATAAAATTTTATGTGATACAAATAAAATTACACAGCAAAAAATAAGAAATTCTTGACAAATAAATTGTTTTCATTTAAATTCACTATATGTTCTTTGTACTATCGTCGTGCTTTGTTTTCGTTTAATTATTATGTTATTATATCCATGTTATATTTTTATTTCTCCCGAATAACACCGTTTTGCGTCGTATATATATTTAATATCATGTAAAATAAAACTACTATTATATATATATATATCTATATACCATAACTTTTATACAACAATGTCATTATATGTATATGATGATAGCAACATTATTGTCAGAAAATTATAAAATAGGAATATAGATAAATAATTTAAAATAGGAGAATCTTGCCTATCTAATTTGTGGAATTGTAGTCATATTTCAATCTTGCAAATAATACTTATAAGTTATAGACAATCAGCCGTGCTCAATCACATCGGCCACAGTATAATTGTTTTTAGCAGAATTATCTAACATAGCCGATAACTAGGTAAGTAGAAAAATTTATATAAGATATAGTTAAGGGGATGGAAACAAATTTCTGACATTCATAAAATTTGAGTTTACACTGGTTGCAACAAAGATGTCATGCCACCATCGACCAAATGAGCAATACAAGAATTGATATGATGTCACTGTTCGGATATTTTAAACATATTCGAACACACTGATTAAGATGAACAGAATGGAAAAAAAATTATTTACCATGTATGATACACAGAATATAAATTTATTTTATAACAAAACATAGCTTAAAATATTTAAATTTGTCGATCTTTGATCGATGGAGCCGAAAATATCGAAAAATATAAAAGATGATTCACCTCACAATAATATCGTGAATGGAAAAAGTACTGATAATACATACTTCTATAGTCAAAGATAAATATATTCTATCTAGCCAATCAATCTGTATTATTGGAGCTTCTCTTCTTGAATTTATACGGCAAAAAAAAAAAGAGAGATTTCAGTTTTATTTAGCTTACTGAATGGATTAAACCTCGATTGAAAATATTCTTTTCCAACAAGATAAAAAAAGAAAATTGTAGGAAGAGAGACAGAAAGAAAGAGACGGAGTAACACTTAACTAGGTCCGGGAGGAGCGTTGAAATTAAACATGGTAGATGGTGGACGTTCTGGTAAACTCGGTTTTGGTGGTAACCTCGGTGTTACTGATCCTGAAATGCAATAATCAAAATCAAAACAAATATCCGCGATTACGAGCCCGTAAAAGAGAAAAATTTACAAGCGGCGCAATCTTACCGTTAGGCTGCGTCGGTGTAAGTTTCGTGGGGCTAGGACCATTGAAAGACATATGTCTCCGTGGATGAGCGACGGTAGAGCATGTGCTCTCTAATGTGGAATTTCGGCGCGCTAATAAAGCCGAATTGCTAGCGTTTAGCGTCGGTGGAAGTCGCGGCGGTAGCGTTACGGGCGGTATTCGCGGTGGTAACGGCGGCGGGGATATATCATCTCTCGGTGGAAGAATTGGTGCGTTTGGCGCTTGTCTTGTCTATATTTGTTCGAAAGTAAATTTTTAAAATTTTTTCTATCGTATGTATATACAATGATTATCCTACTTTTATTTAATCTCAGACATGCAGAGATATTCATCTTTAATGCAATATTGAAATATCTTTGATAGGTTTAGTGCAAAATGGATATTTATATTTATCAAAGAATCTCATGCTATGTAATACATGATCATGTAATACATATTGTATAATGAAACCGACAAAATTATATTTGATAAAATTATATTTGACAAAATAAATAAAATGAAAATAATAACTTGATTATATTTAGGAATTCGTTTTTATTACAGAAAAAAAAATTTAAATATGCACTATTTCATTATACAGGGTATTAAAAAAAGAGTTCATAACTTTAAGGGCAGATAGTACTCACGAAATAAAGGAAAAAAGTTCTAATAAACATAGGTCGAAAAATTAATATTGTCAGAGTTATAAACAATTTTTCATTTTGTATGTAAAGTAAATGACTTATCCGCTTTTGATCCTCTCGCGCGGCATGAAAATAAACATTATGACAAATTACATCACAGAATACAAAATGCCTGTCAAATAGTTAAAACAATACCGGGAATTTTTTAAAGAGTTTGCAAGTTTGTGGTACGAAGATGTAAAGATGTAAAGTGTGAAAATAGAAGGAGGATATGTAGAAAACCTTCTGTAAACTTTGGAGTTTAAAGAATTCTTCTTTTTTCTTCTTTTGGAAGAACAAATTTTTCTTTTGGATTAAAAAATGGTAAGATAATCCGTTATTGGTGAATTGTTCATAACTCCGACAACATTAATTTCTCGACTTATGTTTATTAGGACTTTTTTCCTCCATTTCGAGTACTATCTGCCCTTAAAGTCCTGAACCCTCTTTTTTAGCACCCTGTATAAAGATACCTCAGTATTAAATTAACACGATTTTCGATATACAGGGTGTCCGGTAAAGATTGTGCCAACGCTCGTGAGCGGGTAGAGCACAGTAAACTGAACAGAAAAGTCCTGTAACATTTTTTTATATAACGCTTAATAAAGGAGTTATTACTGAGTAAAGTCTGGTCAATCAGCGCAGACTTCTAGCCGGACGCACGTCGATGAGCCGCCCGCCTGATAGTGTGCGCCACCGTAGCGACGGAGCGCTCACGCACACTACCAGGCGCGCGGCTAAAGGTCGACGCTAATTGGCAGACTTTACTCAATAACTCCTTTATTAAGCGTTATAGAAAAAAATGTTACAGGACTTTTCTGGTCAATTTACTGTGCTCTACCCGCTCACGAGCGTTGGCACAATCTTTACCGGACATCCTGTATATTGAAAACTCATTAAATTAAACGAGATAATCCCATTTAATCTTGGAATCTTACTTGTTGCGATGATTCGCTAAATGAACTTTCTCGTCTTCTACTGGTTCTTGGCGGTAGAGGTGGTGGAAGTTGATTAGGAAATATGTTACCGGGAGATGGCGGCGTTGGTATTCCACTAGGGCTTCCACTTGACGACAAACTCGGTAAAGCACTCACCATGCTTATGGTGCCGGAATTAAAGGCAAAGTGAGTAATTTGATGTTGCGTAGTAGGGAAATGTCCAGGAGATCCCTGTTGAGGGCTACTACTTGACGAAGCGATCGATAGCACCGACATGCTAGGCGGACTAGGTGATCCTGGAGGTACAGAAGGTGCTACAACGCGCGAGAAAGGGTTTGTAGTTGTAATCATTATTGAATCAGAATCGGTTTAAATATCGATTCGTACCTAATAAGACAGGTGCAAAAACACTGTGGTCCCCTGTGTGCGGAACTGTGACCTGTGATGCATGTGGTGGTGTTTCCGGTAATTCAGGAGGCGGAAGTGTTTCCGGCGGTGGATCATGCGATCTAACGCTAGATGTTACCGTTTGTAACGGGGCTGGCAATTTCAAACTTCTACTAGCCTTAATTCCCGGCGATTTCAAGTTTATCTCGGGCCATTTACGTGGCTGTTGTAATAATATTATTTGAAAAAACTGGGGGAGAATAATTATTTATATCAAATTAAATATATAAAACGCTTACGAATCGTGTAGGTGCTTTACATTTCCTTGGCTCTATCTCTAAACTTCTATTATACAGATAAGTGCCTATATTTGCATCTGACATATTAGGATCAAAGGGACACATATTTTCAATATATTGTCTTATTTTAGACTCCACTGAAAGACAATAGGGTTGATTTTGGTACTGCTGTATTTCACCAGTTATTTCCGCCACTTTTCGCCGTTTACTAAAATTAATAAGCTCCGGGCTTCCCGGTAAGTAGTCTGGGTTTCCCTCTTCAATATGCAGAATATTAGTCAAGTACATACCTAAGAATATGTATAAAAAGAAAAATTTAAATCTTTTCATAATTATAAAAGAATCGTCGTCACTTAGTAATATTTACCTAAGAATGGTACACAAGGTGGATTGATAGATCGTAATTTTTCTTGATACTTCCGGAAGTGATCGTTATTAAGTTCTCGCGCTTCTTCCAAAGCCTTTTCTAATCTTGCTGGTAATGGCTGTGAAAATAAACACGTGAAAAAGAAAATGATTTCATACAAAAGAATTTTGAAAGATATATATACATAAATATATATATATATATAAATCATACATATTTGGGACATACTATACGTACTTGAAACGTAAATTTTAGCCTAAAAACTGAAGCCGATCCCATAGCGCTGACAATCGCCAAAACACCATTAAAATTGTTGAGATCCTGCAGCACCATCATTATTTCAATTGCGCGTGATACAATGGCTACCCTCTCTTCAAAATTTTGAGCCTCCACTATTATTTTTTCCAGCCATCTTGTAAACTATCAAGACGCCGTATAAAGCCCAAATTAATAATGCTATATTCCTTATAGTATATTTTCGCGACGACTTGAAACATGAAAACTTACATTTGTCGTATGTTTAATCATTTTCATTAAATTCGGTGACGTCTTCTCCTTGTCTTTCTTTGTCCATACAGATCCAACTAACTCAGAGGGCTTTACTACTCTGTACAGTTCAAACTCTAATAGTGTTAATTGTCTCGCTAATTCGATAGGATGTATCTGTAATTGACAAGTTATTTCTCAGTATGAATTGATTCAGTAGCTGAATACTTCCTTAAATAAATCATAAGATTGAAAGATATTATCTTGTATGTATACCGTAAGTATTCCATATTCTTCATTATTTTCTGGAATTTTAAGATGCGTTTCAATCGGTGGAGGAGATCGCTCAAAACTAAATGTGATAGGTCGTTGTTCCGAAGGTTCACATTTTCTTTGCACAATTTTTAGTACTGAATCAACCCATTTCCGCATAGACTTGCCACTAACTGTATCTAAAAACGATTGCAATCTTTCCAAAAGATTCTTGTCACGTTCGAAATCGTAAAAATGATGATCCACCTAATGGAAAATATTTAGAAAAAAAGATAGTGTTTTAAGAATTGCATAGAATTTGTGGAAAATGGGAAAAATATATATTACTTACCCAATGTCTTAAAACATTCAAAACTCTAAACTGCACCGGTTGACAGAATTCTTTTCTATATCTTTTCCAATCTTCTCTCGCCGTTGTTTTACATACAGAGGGTTTTTCTTCTTCACCATAAACTAGCGAAGGATCCGGTATATCAAACCTTTCTATCAACAATGTCAATAATTCTTGAGGTGAGCAAAAACTCCTATAAAATAAATTATTGAAAAATTAGTAATTAGATATATATATACAGGGTGCGGCATTTATAGTGACGCGGGCATATTTTTCGGAAACGAAGTGAGATATCAAAAAATGTTTCAGACAAAAACTTAAGGTCAAATCCATATTTTTATCATGTGGCCCCCTCGAAACCATGCAACTTTTGTCTGAAACATTTTTTGATATCTTACTTCGTTTCCGAAAAATATGCCCGCGTCACTATAAATGCCGCACCCTGTATATATATAAAGAATTGTTACAGTATACACTGCTGTTATTTATTGCTTACCTATAAGTAGTAAGAAATGTTCTTACAAAAGCTGGATCAGCATATATATGATAAGTCAATCTCTCTACTAATTTTATCAAAGTTGCACCCTTAATCAATGGAACACCGCCATTTTCTCTGGCCTCTAGAACAATGTTCTCCTTGCTATCTTGTTCGGCAAATTTATACAAGTGAGTTGGAGGTAGTCTTAAAGGATGCTTCCTTTCTTCATCCAAAAGAATACTATCCAAAGTCCTTTCTAACATACTTTTTGTATTCAACATCACTAAATCTGCCATCCAATTATTCTTGTCCTCGACAGATTTAGCAACAAGAATAACGTTAGGATGGTCTCTTGGTGCAATTTCAAAAGCATTTTTCAACTCTATAAATGTATATTATGGATCGCACAAAATTTTGACACAAAATTGCAGTGAAATTTAGATGCATTTTTTACCTTCGGTATCTTCTCTATCAATAATATCGACTTTCCTAATGAAAAATCTCTCTTTCAATCGGAGTTCACCTTGATGAGTCGGATGTCCGCCTACTCCAACAGCCACAATACCCGCTGCAACGGTAACACTAACTCTTTTACTACTGCTTGGTTTACACAATACTAGCAACCCATCGAATAATAAGGCTTTTCTTTCGGTTAATCTTCGTCCATTACTAGCTACTTTCCCCAAAGTATCCTCTGTATAAAAAAATTATCGACATATAAACGTTAAAAAGATTGAAGATAACGGTTGAGTATCGAAAAATATATAATAAAAAAGGATGTTTCTTTTAATTACCTCTAATAAACTCATTGCAACACTGCCCGATATCTCTTTGATCCCAGCCGTCTACACTCTTTTGTAATTCGCTAATCTTTTCTAATGCCGCTTGTCTCCTCGCTCTGCTCTGCATTGGCAAGCCTGTATCCTTTTTCGGAAGACTCGCCACAGATTGCATCAATTCCATTTGTAGCGGTCTTAATAAACCTTGCACTTGTTCCAAGGTTTCGCCATCCTCTATGCTAGGTGTGCGTTTGTGTAAAACCTATGATTTATTGAGAAAGATGGAAAGTATTGAAAGATGTCATAAAAATAAGCACAAACGATCCTGTATATGCAAGGAGTTAAACATAATACCTTTATATAATCGAAATACAGGAAGCAATGCCATATAGGTTGCAATAAAAGTTTTGGCAAATAATATTTAACAGCTTCCCTAAAACCATGACCTGCCGCCCGCAAAGCCGCATTAGCTTCCGGTCTTGACAATAAATTCGTTAAAACTTCCCGACTAGCTGGGCTATTAATGTCTCTCGCATATCTAGCGAGAAATAGTTTAATTAATAAAAAATTTATACACATAGTATGTATCGTGCATAACATATGTGATATATACTTTATATAAACATCGAATTCTGCCGCCTCTGCTAATTCTTCAAAGCATGAACCAACTGTAGGTGTTTGCTTCTCCTCTGCAATTTCCATTATGTCTTCTAAACTGCCGAGTAATGTCACAGTAATCTCATAAATATCTGTAATATTACTGAAGAGTGTTTCGAGTTCACTCTTATCTTGCGCCAGCTTCGCAATTTCTTCGCGAAATACCTAGGAACGAAAATTATTTTAATTTAATTACCTTTCTCAATAATATATTTTTTTATTTTACCTTGATAATCATATGCAGGTCACGAATGTAATGCCGTTCATCATGAATGAGATCTCGCACAGATTCTTCATATGTCTGGGAAACAACTGCACTCAAACTACTTTGCGGACCTTCCGTGCAATCGTCTTGATAAAACATATCCATCAGTACCTATCAATGAATTACGTATCATATTGCAAATAATAATCCCTGATATTTTTGTATCTTTATACATTTATATTAAAAGATAAAAAGAAAAATAATAGATGGTATAGTTAATGATCAGAGCTGGCTAACAACTTTTCATTGATGACAAAATTAATCACCCTACATAACAGCATGCAAGACTAAAGATTAAAAGAAACTATTAAAATTTCTCCATAATATGCGCCATTAAGCTACTACAACACTTTAGCGGTCTATAATTCACATATTATTGAATGCATTCTGCAATATAATTAGTATAAAGCAGTAATTATACATATTTGAATAGAATACATATATATTTATATTATATATATTGTATTTATTATTTATATTAAAATGCATTTAAATAAGAGAGAAATATATACGCTTTGCGTGTGCAAAATGACTTGCGCGATCTACAAGAATTATACAATTCTTACAGTTAATGAAAAGAAAAGATAATAGTGAAAAAAATTTAAAAAGGCTTATCAGGATCTAACTTTCTAACTTGTAACTTTACTGTTGACAATAGCATAAATAATTTACAAATATTATACAAAAGAAACATTCTAATAAGCAATTCTTTAACCCTTTGGATATTACATGCCACTATAATGGCTTCCCTCTAAACAATGTTTTAGGACAAAACGTCAATTCAGTAGCTTCTCTCTAAACGACTGTTTGGGACGAAACGCCACTATAGTGACTTTCTTCTACATCTTACATTTAAAGCCGCTAGATATTCTATTGTTGTAAGACAGGAATATTTTCACATGTTTTATCTGTTAGTATATGTTTACATCTGTTTGCATTTGATTTATCAAAAGAATGATCGACGGCAATATACATCAATCGCGCTACAATTATCAATAAAGCGCGTCCCGCGGCAGGATTATATTATACGTACAGCAACAGAGCCTAGCTCAGAGTCTATGCCCAGCTCAGCCGTAGCAAAAGGGTTAAAGAAACAATGAGATATATTAATAGAACTGACAAGAAAGAAATACACAATATCATTTGTTACATAGAACAATTATGTCATCAAGACACGATACTTTAAAACTTTTTTTTTTGTTTACAGACTTATAGTTAATTATCTTCTCTAATATATTTTTTCATTGTTAAAAAATAAACATATTTGAAGAATTTTATTTTGTTTATGAGTTAGCAAATTATGTGATATATATTTTGCTCATATAAGTAATATTATATTCAATTCAATTTTTATACAATATGATAAAAATTTTCAATAATGTGCCACATGTATTAGTTGATAAATTTTGATATAAACATTATAAAGAAAATATTTACTAAGAAGCAATAGTAAAAACAAAAGAATAAAAATTATGACTAAATGTTATGTATAAAGGCAAAAGTATGCAACTTTCGCTAAAATAATCAAGCGATGTGATAGCGTCGCGACGCCAGGTATATAAAAAATTATATTCTTGTCAATAGTTTTGTCTATGTACAGTATAAAGATACCAAAAACTATATTGTGACATATCGTAAATCTTTTTCTGTGCAATCACAAGTACGTACCACCTAGAACAGCATGAGCGAAGAATGAACATGGTTGGAGTTGTTATATATTAGTGGAAAGCATGTAATCAAGCATAGAATATATGCAGCCACAATTAGCCTAGTATAGCCAATTCTGAAATTCATTATTCTATCGTTGCTAGTAGCAGATGCTTCAAGTTACAGATCATAAAGAATTTTCTATTTCTTGTCAAGTTAAGACAAATTAATAGAGAGAAAGACTTAATACGTAATGTGTATATATATATATATGTATATATATATATATATATATATATTAGGTCTATATGATTTTCGTTTTGTGTATATAGTTTCAACGTCATCTCAAATAAACTAAATGTATAAGGCAAAAAGATTATTTCGGATCCGTAATCGAACAATAAGCAAGCCATTACTAGCAAGATATCATATTTTTCTACTGCATTTACTTTCTATTTAATGCGCAATGTAATACCACTTGTATTAATCAATTTCTATATAAGCTCTTCATAATATATCATTGTACATAAAAATATTTTACAGACCAAATATTGAATCGGAATAAGGTATTACACAATATAAACTACATTATTAATATCACAATTATAGTGTGTATCAATATATGTTATGTCTATGTTTTCAATAGTTCATATATATGTACATCAATATACTCAAATTGATTGTAAAAAATGTAAATAGTAAAATATGATACAGAGTGTACATTGATCGATTAAGATGCAATACAGAGATACAACACAGATTGTATGTTTCTACAAACAACGTCTTACCATATCTGCGTACATTGCAACTCGTATATCTTCGCACGAAATCTCTACATGGCGAATATTCTTCACATAATTCCCAGCTAACTGAAAAAAGAAAGAATAATTTTTCATTTTCTTAAACGATACCATAGAATAAAAGGAACAAACAGTAGATTTAAAGTAATTTAATTTTGCAATAGAATAAGTTACCAACCTTCAGAATATCAGCGGAAATATATTCCAAAACCCCAACTACAAATAGACTAACTTGTGAATCAATTTTGTGCTGTAATACTTCCTATTAAAATAGAATTACACATAATTAATTAAACATAATTAATTAAATCAATTATACACAATTTTGACTCTATAAGATCTGTATACTTTACAATTTGCAAATATACAAATATATAAATTAAACATTGTATAGATATGTACTTTTTGTAGTAATTGATGAATCTTGTCGACGGGTAGCACTAACGGCGACTTTTTTTTTCCTTTCTCTAATGCATCCCTTGCATCACGCAGCGCCCATCTGTCAATGGGAGTAGGAAATGTTCGTCTTACTCTTTCCTCTACATCTTGGGGGGTTTGAGGAGGTGGATGTCCACAAAGCATGCCTAGCATTCTTAAAATTAAACTCTCCACATAATCTAACGCATCTTGTCGAGCTTCGAGACTAGGATGTACTTGCTCTAGTACCTACAAAATTAACAATTTTCTTTGGCAATTAATGTAAATATCTACCCACATTATCAGGCAATTGCTGTTGGCCCCCCCCAAAAAAAAATAAATAAATGAAGATATGCTTATATATCGTAAAATTAACAATACTTTGAATACATCGTCGAGCGAATTTTGACAATCGTAACAGAGTATAATTTAAAATATCTATGATTATAGTTGCCGAATTTGACACAAGTACAGCGCGTAATTGAAAAATCATATGGTGGTCACGCACGCAGCGATGACGTCGGTCGGTGCCAATGATCGATCCAGCCCCGATGCAAAATCATCGGAACGAAAAATGATCGAACGAACAAAAAAAAAAAGAAAGAAAGAGGAAGAGGCAGGGATGAACTCTGAAGGGAATAGAACGGGATGGGGATAGAAGACGAGAAAGCGAAATGTAAGGATATAGAGAGAGAAAGAGAGAGAGAGAGAGAGAGAGAGACAAGGATCAAAGTGGAGGAGACAAAATGGGAATCGTGCAAACAACGATGCGTGTACCTTACGTAGGGAGTTGACAAACACTCCCTTCCACTTGGCAGCGTTCTCCTCTTTCTGAAAGTCGTAGCCTGGCGGCTCGCCCACCACTGACGCCGGCGATGAAAACATTTCACCGTGCTCGAGGAATCACCCACATACACGCACGCACATACACACACACACTTAGTGCGCTTATCTACAGAAGGAACCGGAAAGCTACGGAGAGTTCATGAAATTTCCAAAGAGAATCGGTCCGTTTCATTTCCCGGAGCAGTCTCTCCGTCCCGTTTTCACATTGAGTGCTCTCTCTTCCTCTCTCTCTCTTTCGACGTTCGATAGCTAAACCGCCCGATTGTACCCTCGCGCTGATCTCGCGCTTGTTGCTCTCGGCAGCGTCACCAAGGCCGGACCGAGCGTGCCAAGAGTCCGAGAACTCCGGCACTGATGCATCTTTACAAACACGCCCTTCACTCTCGGTTAATCCCTCCGTTGGAATTCACAACTGACACCAGCGGGTAATATCACCAACGGCTACCATTGCACCACTCTAATAGTCAGAATAGTAAGTCTCGCGCGAACGTTCGCCTCGCTTCCTCCCCCGCTTCGTCCCGACTGGCAGCACCATTCGCCATTCGCTTCACTTCCTCGCGTCCTCGCTCTCTCGTATCGTCTAGTCTCGTCGTGTTTCGTCTCGTTTCGTTCCGTCAAGTTTTCGCTCTCTTGCTCGATCGATAAAGTGAGAAATGCGATACCGCATCATTGTGCGATACGAAATCCGAGTGAAGGAGAGTCGACCCGCAAATCGATAGCGTCGAGAGAATCGAAACGATCTCTCGTAGCTTCGAATTCGAATCGTGACCGTGCTATAAATTGCTCGCTATATTTAGACCATATACAGGGTGTCCCAGACCACCCGTACATCCCTTTTAAAATGAAAATAAATGGCTTTTATCAAAAATCGCGAACATTTTTGCCTGTATGTAATAAGACCATAGACATAGTATATCTAGACCAGTGCTCGGAGATAGTTGCCCTTTTCGGGCCGATTCCGTGGCTCACGCCTATTGCCCCCCACTCACCGCTCGTGCGTTAGCGACGAGTCGCCAGATACGCGTAACTAAGGAGCGCGACGTTTTGTCTCAGGAGCGTCCGTATATAAGAATGCCCAAATATAATAATAAGACAATACTTTTCTATAAATAAAAGTTTTTCTTCAATATTTTATATCAATGAAATATAAAAAAAAAATTGAAGAAAAACTTTTAATTTTGAGAATTTTCGCCGTGCATTTAGAAAAGTATTGTCTTACTATTATATTTGGACATTCTTATATACGGACGCTCCTGAGACAAAGCGTCGCGCTCCTTAGTTACGCGTATCTGGCGACTCGTCGCTAACGCACGAGCGGTGAGTGGGGGGCAATAGGCGTGAGCCACGAAATCGGCCCGAAAATGGCAACTATCTCCGAGCACTGATCTAGACCATAGACATAGGCTGCGTTCCGATATTCACTGATATTCACTGCCAGTACTGAAAATTTATAGTGTACGTGACATAAACTATAGATTTTCAGTACTGGCAGTGAATATTGGAACACAGCCATAGTATATCTAGACCGAGCGTTTGCCTTTATTTAAGGAGTGGGGGTAAAGATGCACGTAGAAAAGGACATACTCTGTTTCGTGTCCCTTGCGTTCTCTCTCGCTTGCACGTAGCATAGCGTACTCTTTCGCTATGCTACGTGAAGAATATGTCCTTTTCTACGTGCACCTTGGCCTTCACTCCTCAACACTCGGTCTAGATATACTATGTTTATGAATAAGACTATATTGCCAGTCCCCATAAGTGGAAGGGTCACCGATGAAGTGAGACAAAAAAAGTTACTTTGTCCTTTATTGTCTTTTATTGAGAGATGACTGTTCGTTATGCGCATGTCGCGACATGCGCATAACGAACAAGGTTCTCTGCCAGACAGAGAGAATGATATACGTTTGTACCGTGATGTTTTCGGCTTTTTCTCGACCCAACTGGCAATATAGTCTTATTACATATATGATTTAAACTCGTATCAAACCATTGAAGATTGGAGATTGGAATTTGACTAAATCAAAATAAAAGAAGCCAAAATTTCTTTGTCTTGATTGGTCAGATTTCAATCCTCGGTCTCCAATTTTCAATCTTCAATTTCAATCTTCAATCTTCATTCTTTCCTCTCCACTCTCCACTCTTCACTCTTCACTCTTCACTCTTCACTCTTCACTCTTCACTCTTCACTCTTCACTCTTCACTCTTCAATTTTAATCTTTAATTCTTCACTCTTCACTCTTCACTCTTCACTCTTCACTCTTCACTCTTCACTCTTCAATTTTAATCTTTAATGCATAGTCTAATACAAGTTTTATATTTATCTGCGCATTTTTTACTCTATTAAATTTATTCCGTAAATAAATTAAAAAAACATATCTCTCTTTCATATACTCTGTTCCGTAAGAAATAAAATCTTATTACTTTTATTACGTGTAGTAATAATATATGTGTAATAATATATAATTCATTAATAAATAAACACAGATGTAAGTTTTTTTTATAATTTTAATTCGCCACTACATATAAGTACATTTGTATATACATAATTACTTCTCTCTCTCTCTCTCTCTTTCTCTCTCTCTCTCTCTCTCTTTTCTCCCTCTTCTCTTCCTAAAGGTATAATAATTATTTTCATAAAGCGAAAAAATTTGTACAGATAATCTAATATAAGTCCATTTTTTTTCCTCCTCTCTATCTATTTATTTTTTAATTTACTGCCGAATTAGCAAAGCCACTGACATAAATTAAAAAGAAAATAAAAATAAGATATAATTGACTTGTATCGATTTATGCTATACTAACAATAAGAAGCTGACTGAAAAGCATTCAATATAGTAAAAAGTGGTATTGTTATATATATATATATATATATACAGGGTGTCCTAGACCACCTGTATACCCATTTTCTTTCAAAAACTAAGCATTTTAGAGAAAAACGTTTTGAATAAAAATTGTATGGTTTTGAGGTGAACATAAAATGGTGTCATTGGTTTGGCCTTGGATGGCATCGTTAAGGTCAAGTCAAAAATACAATCAATTATACTATGCTTTGTAGACATACACATTACTGGAATAAGTTTTTATTTAGCGAAGAAAAGATGGAGTTCGCATGCGTCCAATATTTTGAGTTTTCGATATAACAGGCGACCAACTTTCAGTATTAACTTCCCGTATAATGCAGAGGTTCTTATCGCAGCAAATATTGCAATCTTGCAAATTGCAGTGCAATATTACAAAAACTACGTGTCTTTATAAAGATATGGAATTGCCAAATTCTAATAGATTGCAATAGATATATTCCAGTAACATGAGAAGATTAGAATTAAAAATATTGTAGAAATATTATAAATTATAACATAATGATTGTACGATCCGTTAAGAATTGCTTTGCTTCATGTATGTAAAATGTTAAAATGTCAATTATATGTTTAGCTTAGGATGTGTGAATTAAATCTAAAAATTGTCTACACTAATCCGTTGATGTAATAAAGAATTGTGTGAATTGCATGTGTAATGTTTGTTCGAGATGTAAAAAGACGAACATAAGAGTAAGAATACTAAGTACACTACATTGTTGATAGAAAAGTTATATAACTATGATTTGCAAACTTTGAGACTGACTTAACTTATCCTGCTTCTTTGTAAATTATATTCTTGCTCATTGCGTCAACAGCGAAGAAAAATGTATGATAAATAAAGTTAAAGATCTTAAAATGACAATTCGGTGTTTTTATTTGTGCCATTTCCAATCTAAATAGATAATGAATAATCTATGCATTCCTTTTTATGAATGCGAAGAAATTAATAAAATACTATATATACTTGTCAATATCGATGATTTGTTACAATAAGTTACAATGAGGTTACAATCAATCTAATCTGAGTCTATGGAATTCTACGAGTATTCTTCTCATGATCATGTTGCCTTATAATTTATAATCTTCATTTCCGTAGTTCCGCAACTGATTACTAAGCGGTCGAAACGATGCTTGATGTTCAAAGAATATCCTTGCATACGCCAGGCTCATCCCTTGTGATAAAACCCACGCTTTTGTCGAGCAGTTCCATCAGAGCGGTTTACTCAACTAAAAATAAAGATAGAAAAGATTAAATTTTTTTTTGATAAAAATATAAATTAATAATTGAGTTTTGCTCGAAGATAAAATCCGACTTCTCAGAGGATTTGACTCTCTCTCCTTTTCTTATTAACTTTTGCACGATATGTATTAAACATTATTGCTTTAAAATCTAAGTTATAATTAAATACGCGCGCACACACGTACATATATTCGTATACATATACGTATATATATCACTCAACACGAAGATAATTTTTCTGTTTAAAATATATCGAAGATTATATCCTTATCAATTAATCGCACATGCGCAATAGAAATCGTCGGAAACGCTTGCGTGTATATACATATATATATAAACTTTTTTCGATTATGCATCTTAGAACGTAATCGTCGGGGTCGATTACTTCTTTTGATGTAAATCGAAATAATTGCGAAATGTCGCGACGAGGCGATAAAAAGCAAGATGGCACGTTTCAACGGCCGGCGAGGACTTATCGCGTTTAGCGCTGATACAGCGATAGCCTTGCGTCACTTTTAGAACATAGATTTATATTAACATTAACTCTGCTTTCTCGAATTTATGACCTACGCAATTGCGTACTTATGCGAAGCGCGCGACTTACGCACGGGAAAAAGCGTACCGCAAAAGATGTTATCATCGCTATTCGTAACCTTGAACATTCTTCCACCGATCTTAGCCAATCGATACAATTGTAGGATGAAAATCAACGCAGTTTGCGCGATATTATTAATAATCGGAAGAAAAACACACTCACCTAACTAGAGGATACGCAGGGTCCCCGTCGCGTTTCAGTTTTTCGACATGACGGATAGGTATTAATTTAATTGGAATTTGGTTCACCACAAAACGCCTTCGTCGACCGCTGTAAGGTTATCGATTAGTTAGAAGAGATTTTTTAGAAAAAAAAATTATTATTACATTATAAAAAGTATATATTTAGTAAGTTGTGTTAAAAAAAAGTTGAAAAAAGAATATATATATATATATATATATATGTGTGTGTGTGTGTGTGTGTGTGTGTGTGTGTATTTGTGTGTGTAACAAAATCTCATCATATATGACATAAATATTTTTTGTTGACTCTTATTCAATTTTTCTTACATTCTTATTGGATCCAATTTCCTGTTTGGCCTATTTCCTTCCGTCACGTTCAGCGACCGTTTGCCGGTGATCCTCGACAAACTTATAAGTGTTTCCAACTCGGCTCGTCTCTGATCCGATAGTCGTTTTTGTCGTCTGCAAAAACGCGACGAGTTACACGGGTTAATTTGAACGATATCGAATTTATCGTTGAAGAACGAGAGAATTTTAATTCGACTCACGGTTTAGCCGGGAACGAGCTTCCTTGCACGAACGATGAGATTGCTCTTGGTTTGTAAATCAAGAGATCTTCTAACTTTGAGGCATGTGACTCTAACATGCTCAAGTTCAACCTATCGCAAAATAAAAATTATAAAAATGAGATATCAAGTGAGATAGCTGATATTTGAGAAATCGGAAAATGTCCGGTTTTTTTTTTTTAATCAAAACAAATTTAAGACACGTTTCTCTTATATCATGATATATTTGATAATATTTATATCGCGACAGGCCGATATTATCGTTAATATGATGTAACAACATTAAATATGGCTAATAATGTTCTGACGTAACCCGTACGCGGACGCGGAGAAAACTAAAACGGAAGGTCACATCATTAAAGAACGGAAACTATATCGCAAAATATTGACTTCTCGATATTTTCCCATGAAATCAATCGGTATTATTGCAGATTTCAAAAATTGTAGAAAAGTAGTAATTACCCGCTCTCGTCAACCGCAGGACGTCCATGAATAAATCTCACCAGTACAAGTGCCATGAGGACGTAGATGGCCATAAACGAATATCCCATCTTAAGCCCGGTATTTTCTATATCACTGAAGAGAAATTTAAACGCGTGAAAAGAAGGAATAAATGTTTTTTGTTTTTTGTTTTTTGTTTTTTTTTTTTTTTTACAAGAACACGCTGATACGGAGATTAATACGATCTTCAAAAGTTCCCTCGCTTCGTTCGTTGTATGTAAACTATTAAGTCGGAGTAACGATCGTCACCGCATATATACCGCATATATAGGGTGACGATATCCTTATCCCCTCCTCCATACAAGCATCAACGCATTTGCATACTCGCTACTTTGTATCGCTGTCTGTCAGTGCCTGTCAATGAGCTTCTCACAACAAATAATTACACATTTGCGTAATAATTTCCGAAAAGATCGCTTTCGGATCGCTTGCCTAGTCTCTTCCTAAAGGTGATCGATCTACGATCGATTCGACAAAGCGATCGTTAGAGGCATATAAACGATTTGCTGAGAGAAAAGAAACTATTGAAAATATTGAATCAAATTATTTTGGATATAATAATTCCTCTAATTTCTCATCCGAAGAAAATTCTTAGAAATAGAAAATATTTATATAACAGCAAAATTTATCATTGATGTCATTAAATTTCATCGTTAAAGTGATCAAGAAAAATCTCGCAATCGTGCTCATGCGCTTTTTACGCCTCATTTTCTACACGCCTTTTCTCTTTCTTATATTTATTTGTATAAATATTCTCTTGTAATATTCTTTTTCTCGACTGAAACATTATATCAATGGCAACATGTAAACAACACCCTATTACATTCTACGAATGGCACGTTTTCCTTGTTCCAGCGGAAAATGTGCGTAGTAATTGCGGATTTTCTAGTTTAGTCCGGTATATTTCCAACATCGTCCGCATATTCAATTTTTCTTTTCTACAAAATGAGAAAGCAAAGTACATGAGATGCTTGTTCACTTCGTGGTTTACTTCGATCTTGTGTAATAAATCCACGAAGATTCATAAATTTTTGTTGAGAAATAAGCCAAATATAAATTCGGCAGTTTCGCGCAGAAGCAGAAAAATGAACTTTTGACCTCATTTTGATATAAAACTTTGATTATATAGAGATAATGTATATAAATTACGTGCTATATCCGGTAATTTCTTTTTTCATACGTTGCTTTATATGACACTGTTCGTTCAAATTATATTATAAGCAAATTATAATAAATTTAAATAAAAAAAGTGTAATAATTAATTAAATCTTAATTTAAATATTATAATACTCGATGTATATAATTTAATTAATTATTATATAATTTTAATATTTTTATAAATGCTCTGTCGCCTTTTTTTACTAAATTGCCATATTCTAAAATCTTATAAATGTGTGCATGTGTGTTTATCGCTTTTGATTTTGTACTTCAATCGCGGAGTTTTGTTATATACGTAGTAGCGCCATTAGATGAATCATATAACGCCATTACGAAACTATTTTAATGCTATGCTGTGTGCAAATATAATTTTTACATTTTTACAAACTATCGCCTTTATTCATTAAATTGCGATATCTCTCGAAATTCCTTATTAATATGTGTTTTTTTTTATTTTATGCTGTAATCGCGGAGTTTCGTTATACCATCAACGCTATTAGACGAATCACGCAACATTGGCCTGTCATCATTACGAAATCACACAGTACTGCTGAACGTTACGCTTACGACTCTTCATTTTTACTTGTTACTTCCGGCATCGATTTTATTATATTTTGATTATTAAATCTTTATCGCGTGCGACATATAAAGAAGCAAGGCTGACGCGCGGAGTTTAAAATATTACATTCGCGATTAAAATACATATCATCAATTAGATATTTCGAAAGAAAAATCGGAGCATGATGTTTTCATTGTATATCCTTTGTATATATTCAAATATTGGCAAGAGACAATTCAATTACCGTATTTTTTTTTATCGCAACAAGTCGCATTCAAAATCGAAGAGGTACATTACATGCCGCAATAACATGATAGTGTTTCACAGTTGTTGCGTTAACAGCAACGGAAATGACGTGTCTGATTAACACAAATTGTGCAAAAAAAAGGTGAAGAAGGCGCCTAAGAGATATGTGCATGAATTTCATAATTCATCGTATATATTATGCTTCATGGATCCGACGCGGCGAAACAAATCGCGCGCGCGAACGTAATGTAATAATCATCGACGATCATCGCTGGTAAAAAAAAAAATAAAAAAAAGAATTCGCGATTGCGCGATCGTCGGAGGCGCGTGTGTACACGCGCCTAACGTGTAACGTTTTGGTTATACGTAATGGTAAACGGCCACTTATAGATATGATACGTTGACCGCATGATCCCCTCCTTACATTGCGAAATGTCTGTCACCCGCGCATTTGCGAGTAAATTCGTCATACGATTTCGTATCTATCAGATAAACATTGGACGCAGCCACACATTGACTGGAAGAAGACCCGAGATCGGATCATACATTATTTTAGGTTGTTGTGTTTCTCATTCATTCACAATGGGTGGACGATTAGTTTAATCTAATTAGATTGCGATATTTTTGCGGGCTGTACAAATAATGTTTCTTATTTACTATTTATACTCTTTCACATATATTCTTTCTTTTCACTCGAATCCGAATGCGCAAATCAAGTCGAGTTAACTCGCAAATTTTCAAATTTAATTCTTTTGCTGAATAAAAATTTCCATACAGTACAGAGAACAATTGCGGCAATGTTGTTGCAATGCTGCAATATTCAGTGCTGGATGAGTTTTTACTTTTTTTGACAAATACATTTTATAATAATAATATACATAGACATGATATCTCTACATATTAATTGTTTAGAGTATTTTTTTGCCCCTTTCCACAAAGCAAGTAGTACAAAGCATCATTGGTCCGACGGTTCGACAGGTTGGTTCGCTATAAAGAAAATGCGTAATTTGCACCGATTGAATAATTATCGGTCGATATATAAAATATTTGCAGATTATATAATGCTTTCGATTAATATTTTAAATAAGAATGCCAATGTGATTTTCTCTCGCAAAGGAATATAAAGAATGCTTAAAAAATATTATCTACCCTTCTTAGCTAATATATATTTATCTTATATACAAGCATCTCTATCTTTCTCGTACAAATTTATAATAATATTCAACACAAATTCATCCTTTAATGCTTCGACAAAAAAATCTATATAAAACACAAGGTACATATATAATGATGTAACAATATAAAATTATGCACGAAGAAAGAATTCTGTATTTACCGACAGAAGGGTATAATTCTCTTTTCTCTCCACTGTGTTTTTGTAGAGGGAGTCGTAATCTAATTTTTAGCAAATTTTCGTTTGCACCTAATTTCAGCAGCTTTTCATTTTTTCTTCTTTTTTATTATACTAGAATATTAAGAAAGCACGCCATTTTTATATCATATATATTATTTAATAAATTCTAAAATAAAAAAAGACCTCTAAAAAAGTATATCATTTTTTATGTTATTTTCACAAATAGTTTGAGGTAATCATTCAAAATGAGTCCGTTTCAATTATTTTTTTTTACACATTTTGATATAAAATTTATACCTAATGAATAAAATTACAGAGTTACACTTATTAATAAGTCCCCGAACATTCGAGCTGTCAAAATATCTCTGCAATGCCAGCTATTCAACTTAATATTCAATATGAAAACACCATCGAAGCGTATTCCGATTGTCTACTTTCTCTCAAAAGAAATAATATCATACTCGCAGATGAATAAGATAATAACTCATGCACTATATACTGACCTTCTCAATATTTGAATTATCAAATTACACCATTTTTGCTCAATGACAGATTTTCATTTATACGAAATAAGCACAGCACATAACCAATTAGCATCGAGAGATGAAAAGATTTTTTTAAGATAGAAGAGGATTGTTGGAGTTGAATCGTAACAATCAGTCCCATACAACACAAAACATTGTAGCAACATTGTGCGACGATGTTGCAACAATATTGTGGCAATGTTGCAATGCTGCCGCAATGTTGTTGCGACATTGGGCGCATTTAGCGGATTTAACAGTTGGGTAGTAATCGAACATGATTGGTTCTTATTTTTAGAACCAACAAATCAACGTCGAGTGTTGACAAGACTCAACTATTGAGTCCGCTGAATGCGCCTATTCTGTGCTGTATAGGATAATATCCGAATGGTATTACGTTCAGAAGTATTATCTCTGTAAACGCGAATAAGAGCAAAGAATAAATTGCACAAATAATCGATTATTTAATTTTATTGCATTCACAATTGCGTATACATGTTTGTTCAAAGTAATCCGGCGACGTGATTAGTAGATGAAAAAGGAAATGGAAATGTGTCGGTGCTTGCGTATATGTTCGTGTGTGTGTGTTGTGTGTGTGCGCGCGCGCGTGCGTGCATGTGATACTCTAAGAATCTTCTAAGAATAATTGATTTGTAGTTTACGTGTGACTTACACAAACGTAATCGCATTTACACATCAAATATGAAAATAAATATAAATAAATAAATAAATAAATAAATAAATTAATTAATTAATATACATGTAAAGAAGGAAAAGATACCTAAACCGACATAGGCCCAAACCGATGGACTTTTATTTTTCGGCAATTAAATGCTGCACTTTACGAGAATTTAGTCCGTTTAGTTAGATTAGAAGTTCATAGTTTGTGCACTCGTTGCTCACTTTAATGCTAAATTGACTTGTATCCCAGAGTTCTCAAAGTTTGACAATACTTTTCCTGTGACTTTCTTTGTCAAATTACATAATCTAGAAACAGCTGTAATAATACAATATCTTTTTTCTGCAATATTACAGTTGTATTATAGATTTCTAAACCTGTTTTATTTTTGTTTACATATTTTCACCGTGTTCCTGTGAATTTTTAATGAATATATGTCGACTTTGAGAACCAATCTCTCAGATCTCAATTTTTGTTTGTTCTCAAAAAAAGTATTAGTTCAAGAAAGAAACAAAATTGTCGAAACTGCAATACAATTCTTAATAAATATATCCGCGGGTAAAAAGTTTTTTATTTAACATACTTCCAACTAGAGTCCAAACACTATATATATATACGCGATGTACACGCGTGTATCGACACATAACACACACACGTACACGCATACACATACATACACGTGAACAGGCAAATATACGACGTTAATGCAAGAGTACGCTCGATGGCGCACGCCAAGAACGACAGCAACACAAACGAAAACGTAACGTAAAATTAGTATAGGTTGATGCCTAGAAAAATTGCCAATAAAGTAGTCGTTTAAAACTTGTAGCTAACCTCTATTTGTGTATCTCTCCTTTGTATTTTCTCACTTGGTCCCCTTCCACCCTCTACCCTCTCCCCCAATCACATTCATAGTTATAGATCTCTCCAGAAATTCCCGGTCCATATTTGCGATCCACCCCTTGTAATTTATTATTGATAAACCTCGTATCTCTCTTGCCTAACTTGTTGGCAAAAAGTTAGAGTCCACACACTATATATATATATATATATATATATATATGTCGGTTTTTTAGTACCTTTTCTTTACAAATAAATATTAGACATTATACATGACAATAAGTAGTAAATAATAAGGAACGTAGGTTCATGAGATGCGTGCGTGAGTCCAATTAACACTAAAATGATTTCTCTAAATTAAAAACTTAATAAAAATAAAACATAAAAAATAAAAATAAAACATCTAGAGAATTAATCAGTTGCTAAAAGATAATTTTGTGTTAGAACGTTGTGTCATTTCTCAATACATGGTCGCATCTGCAATAAATCCCATTGATAGACGACAGATACGCTGTTCTGTCTGACGTAAATTCTCATTTTCTACATCAACACAGAAATAAAGAAAAAATGACTAAGTAAGGATCTAATAAATAAAAACTAAATAAAAAAACGTACATGGCCGAGCCCGGAATGCAACACATGCCGCTCGCACGCGTAAAAGTTTCAAAATTCACGATTAATATTAATTTTGGTCCTTTATGCTAACAATAAGATACAAAACAATTTACGTGTTATAATAAAAGAAACATTATACTGGCGAGCGTGATTAAATTTGTTCGTCAAAGGCAGAACAGACGATTAATTTTGTAGATAAACGTCTGGAAAAACAACAAAGAGATTTATCGAAGTAAGTAAATTCGTAAAATTAACGATTCATTTCTTGATAAAGATCGTAACAAACTCATAATTTTTTCATATTAAACGCTATCATAAATTATGCTGTAACAGATCTGGTGATATATATATATATAT